TTTATTCATAGACGCAGAATATCTGCGTGTAACCATAATCAAAGTAGTCTACTTAATAGGATATGGGAGTTCTGAATGAAAAAGTCGAACCTTCTCTATGTTCTATCCTCCCGGGATGTTAATGGAATACGATAGGGCCTTGCGCTAGGAACCGACATAAAATGATACCAGATCCAGTGACGGAAACAAAAGTCAACAGTTTGATGGCGATACTTTCACTTAGGAGGCAGGGCCTGACAAAGTCTGCTTTTTTTCTGAGGTAATGCCACACCCTGCGGAAAAATCAATGAGAAAATTGGAGACTCTCGAGTTGACAGTTCTTTCGACTCCACCGTGTAGCTGAGCGACGCCCTATGTACTCTGCTAACTAATTCTCATCTTCGGGAGGAATTTTTACGCTAAGTTAAGCGAGCTCAAACTCGACTTCCAATCTTTCTTCGATCAATAGTCTCCTGGAACCAGAGAAAAGACAGCGACAAAATTCCCATGTATAGGCAATACATTGTAGATGACAGAGGTGTATGTTTGGATGAGCAAGCAGTTGTGGTAAATAAAAAAATTAAAAGCGAAAAATAGTCATAAGTGATTCATTAGTTATGGGACCTAATACAAAAGGTCGTAGAAGATGTGGTTCCCGAAATTATTTCTCATTTCCTTGAGGCAGATCTAGTGCTGTTAGCCCTTTTGTATCTTACCTACGCGCGTACCCATAGCCCGCGAAAACTGCTTTGAAAGAGTGCTCTTGAGAATTATTTCGGGTCAGTCAAAACTTCCAGTCGGGTACAGAAGCGGGTGAAAGCCAAAGTCAATCCTGCTTGTGAGATCTACCACGAGGGGTTTCCATGGTTCCGGAATGAGAAGCCATAAGGATAAAGGATAAAGCATTTGCCGTTGATCAATCCCTTTTTGGGATGCGGCACGCATTCTACTTCCATTTGTACATTCGTAGTGGCGTTTGAATGCGATGTGGCCTATACAATGACTTGCGGGGCCAGCCGATGTACAAGTCAGTGTTTTTTTATCCTCCCAGACAAGTCTGGTACCAATTAACCGACCCCGGAGGGATGGAAGGCTTGGTTGGCCCGGGCGACTCACGACCCAGGATTTGATCCCCGGACCGCTCGCGTGGTAAGCGTGCCACTTGCCACTACACCACTTCCGCCCAAGGGAAGCCATACCAGTGAGAATTTACATTGTATTGTACTTTTATAAGGACAGAAGTTGCCCTTACGGTGGTGAAAGGGGGGGGGGGTACGGCTAACGTACTAGCAGAACGGATGCTTCGAGTTAATACTTGTCTGCTTCTGGACCTTGCTCTTTGGGCTGTAATGTACTCTAAGGCTAAATCGAAATGGTTTCGATCACGAGTTTTCACGCTTTTCGCGACTAGAAAAGAAAAAAGTTCCCCCGTTATTATTAGCTTATAATTTGACTCCATTATCGTGCAAAAGGTGTGCTTACTTGACAATTTTCGAGATTTTGTTCACCCAGAAATCTGAAGAGAGGCCCGTGAAAACTTCGGGATATCGTGAGGGGAAAGCGTCGATCATTCAGCCACGTGCATACCGTTCGCCGTAGATATTCTAAAAGAGGAAACCTTGATGACGGTAAAGCCTATTCGAAAAAGTCACCCGACCTCGATCTTGATGGTTGGTCTTAGAGAGATCATCTCCAAGGATTCTTGTGTGCTCTTCAGAAATCGTCACTCTTCCAATCCGCGCCGCATCTCCAAGCCTTCTGGCATTGTCCGCAATGTAGTGAACCGAATGTATGGGTATCTCATTTTCCTAAACAATAACTGAAGAGCTTGAAGTGAGAAAGTCTATATAAACGTCGCGTACCGCTGAAATAATGGTGTGTTGCCAAGGAAACTCATCCATTCCCGCATAGCAAGCATTTATGGCTGAGAAAGTACCGTGAGCGGTGCTGGTGTCGTAAAGGCCGGGTGGTACAATAATGTTCATAATACATTGCCCAAGTGTTCGCACCTGATTCAGTTGATGTTTTCTAACAGCAGAGAGAAACTTGAAAGGGACATACCAATTTCTCAAA